GAAACCTTTACATCTTTGTGAGAGACAATTTAGAGCTTATTTCTGCTTAAATTCTTTGCTTGGGTAGAGAAATCTGAGAGTGCCAAGGAATGTGCTGATAGAAGAAAAAAAGCAGCTTCTGTGATCCTTCTATCTTTTACTTTCGTTCTAGGTATCATCCTGGACTTGATGCACTTGAAGAAGCCTGGAGGCTTTGACATCTCTCTGTTCTACAGGGATATTATAAATGTAGCAGAGGATGAAGACCTTGGGGTCCAACCTGAGGCGTCAGAGAAACTGGAACAGCTCATGAAGAAAGTACGAGCAAAAGAGACCAACAAACGAGCTCTAGTCAGGTCTGTGCCTGCTTCTCACACTTCATTGGGTGAAAAATAACCTGTGATGTTGTTTTTAGACTGCCTCTCACCTTCCTCTTCTGGAATGATTATTCCAGAAACGACTATTTTTCAGAAAATGGTATCCTCGCCAAATGAAATACCAAAAATCTGCAACATGTAAAATTGTTGATTTATAGTGAAATCTGATTGAAAACAAGGCTTTTCTTAGTAGTGTTAACTTAGAAAACAATAATTTCAATGTACCTGGCAGATATTTTGGCCTAGTTTTAAACAGTTCTATGTGGCCAGTCTGTCAAGGCACTTGGTGTGGATTTGTACAGCCTTGGTATTTCTGGTCTCCTGTTGAAAGATTAAAGATGCTTATAGACATATATAAATTTAAATAAACAACCTGAACTGTTGTCACTGGCATTCTTCCTCCTGTTTACAGCTTTATTTTCCTCTTATGGGAATGTTCCTCAAGTTTTTTTCAATAATTGAGGAGGAGGAATCCCATACCAGTGACATCTTTTAGAGGAGAAGTAACACTCGCAGTAATTCACTGTGCTGCTCTCAGAACTTGAAGATTACCTCCCATTTTAAACATTCAAGTCTGATATTTTTTTCCTCCAACTTCTGATTATTTTTGTTTCTCAGATCATGCTATTGCTTGTCTCATTTGGGTTCTTTTGGTGAATTTTGCCTTCTGCATGAAGAGCTGTGTGAATTCAGAGGTCACACTGCATTGAGCACAAGTGGAGTGCCCAAGTGTGGACTTGTCCTGATAAAAAATATCGAGAAAACAAGTAGGGTGAATTATTTATGTTCACATCATTATTATGAGGGGAATGACAGCACTGCAAGAATGTTCTTATACAAGAAAAATTGTGACTCAAATTAATGTTTCCAGGGTTACATGTGATTTGGGGGGAGAAGAGTAGGAGGAGGTCAGAGAAAATAAGCTAGCTAGCTGAGGAGATGGTTTCTTTTGCAAAAGTGCTATTTTTGAGTTCTCTATCTGCTTTTTTTACACAGGTTAAATCTGTATCTGAACAAAGATCTGGCACTTTCTGTCAGTGTTTACAACCTTGTTCATAAAGCTTATAAGCCCTATCCAGTGAAGCTTTATCGGGAGACTAATGAGCCAGTTAAGACCAAAACAAGGATGTTTAATGGAAAAACAGGCAGCTTGCTCTTGCCTAGTGACACAAAAAGGGCTCAGGTAAAGTGCTGATTATGTGCCTGCTCTTTTCCTGTCTCTGATGTTGGGGGGAGATGCTGATTCTCTCACTGCTTTTGTTCACACTTCACTTTGAGGGAGAGTGGGTGGTTTCTCTGGCACGACTGTCAAGGGACAGCAGAGCTGCTGGTAGAAGTGCACTCAAAAAACACAAAGCTGAGCGTTAAGCCCTGATGTCTGACTCCAGCAGCTGGACTGCAGTATGGTTTTGATATTGTAACAATGAGTGGTGCTTAAAAAAAAACACCAAAAAATGTTGTTTCTCAGTCAGTGTTTCTGCCAGTGTGTAGCAATGATGAGAGTTGGTGTTGTCTTGTCTATAACCCTCTTTTCAGTAGGGGAAAACAATAATTGCATCTTCTTCCTGCCCTCCACAGTGTGTTTTTTTGATGTTGGCAGCACTGCTCTCTGCTTTCCCTTATTTAGGTCTATGGAAACCGTCAGATTGTGCTGGAGAAAGAGGAAACAGAAGAATTAAAACACTTTGATTCTCCAGGCTTGTTTCTGATTGGCTTCAAACCCCTTTCAATGCTAAAACAGCACCACCACATCAGACCCTCCCAGTTCATCTACCCTGAGGAGTCTGTAGTAAGTGGTAAGTAGAGATGACAAGAGGAGATTCACCACTTTGCATTAGGGCAAGTGTCTGACTCACATTGTGCTTGAGTGGGGATCATTTTGTGTAGAATCTTGGGTGATAAGAAGTGTAGAATTAACTATAGCACAAGAGAGGATTAGGCATCTGTTTTATCTGTTGTGGCAAGCAGCTAATCAAATTATGTAGACCTAGTCCCAAAGTACTTGCTTTTGTTGTTCTTGAAAGTGAAGGATCCTAGCAGCTGACAAGACAAAGGTGGTGAAAAAACTATCAGTCAAACACAAACCAAACCAGCAAGGATAATTGCTGGATTTATGTCCATATCAGCTAGGAGTGGAAGCATAATAGTCAGAAGTGTGGTTGAATTACCAGCACTTGACAGGCTTGTAAAGAGGGAAGGATAAGATGCTTAGGACTGCTTTCTCTCCCCTTTTTTTATGTGTATTTGTAAGTCTGCTTATCTAGAAGGACAGTGTTAATCCATCCCATGCTGCAATAGTAAAGAAACTCTAGCTCCTCAGTCCACCAGTGGATAAAGAAGGCTGAATTATGACCAGCTTTTTATAGTGTCTGACTAAAGAACCTTTACATGAACTTCTTCTCCAATTTATCAGTTTCCTGAATCAAACACCTCATTAGATGTCAGTCTTTTCCTGACCACCCTGTCTAGTAAAATACCAAGCAAACATGTGCCTCAAGAGAGGAACACTGCACTTGAATTCTGAGTGTGTTACTTCTGCAGAAGGTCCTGTGATACACTGCTAGGATGTCCCACTGGACCAGAAAGAAGCTTTGTAGATACTTGTTTCCAATTTCCAACTGCATTTCCTTGCTCAGATGCCAGTGATTTCATTTGTTTCACCAGAATTCTCACTGCTCTGCTCAGGATAATTTTCAAGGGCTTCCCCTTTCAAAAGTTGCTTTTACCTCTGCAAGAGTTTGAAAGAATATTTAGGGTTAAATTCCTGAGCAAAGGAGCAGAGCTGTCAGTCTGATGAGTGCAGTGTTGATTTGCAGGGAGTACCAGGCTGTTTAACGCCTTGCTGATGAAGTGTCTGGAGAAGGAGGTGATGGCCCTGTGCAGATACACCCCCCGCAGGAACACCCCTCCTCGCTTCGTGGCCCTGCTGCCCCAGGAGGAAGAGCTGGATGAGCAGAAGGTCCAGGTTGCCCCTCCAGGTATGGGAGGAACTGCTGCCTTTCCCTGCACGACTGGAAAATCTTCTTCAATGAAGAAAATGGAAATGTTTTTATAGATGATGGAAATATTCTTAGTGCTGTTGTCCTTAAAACTGAGGAGAGTGCTTTCCAACTTCCCTTTTCTTCAGTTTTGTCACTGTAAGCATCTGATGTTGAAGCTGTTTTTAAAACCCCAGTTGCATTGGTGCATGCTCAGGTATAAAATGGCTGCAGTATCTTCCCTGCCTCCTACTTCTTTTTAGCAGATTCAGGTCACTTCCCTAAAACTTAAAAGCCCTTTTTCTGTTTGACTAGACAAAGTGTTGTTCCCTGAATTTTATTGTATCCTTGGATACATTTTAAAGTATTAAAAAAATAAATATCTTGCATACTGAGTGGAGAATGATGAGGGAGCACTGGCAGACTCTTCCTCTAGCATTTTCTCACCTCTTTAACTGAAAAATCCCCTTCTATGAGGATGTACAGTAGGGAAACAACACTCCTTGTGTACAAAGCAAAGCACTTTAAAATCAATCTGTGGGCATTAACTTAATTTTCAAACAAGCCTTTTTCAGACTCTTATCCAGTGAGAGAGAGGGAAGGTGGAAAAGTTGATCTGCCTAAAAAGCGAGTCACAAGTACCCAGCTCTGAGCTATGCACTTAGTTCAAATCTCTTTCAAAAAAACCATTATCATTACATACATCAGTGTAGATACAGCATTAAACCATTGGTTATATACATTGAGATGGAGGTTAAACCATTGGTTATATATGTTGAGGTGGAGGTTAAATCATTGGTTATATACATTGAGGTGGGGATTGGGTGTCATGCTGTAGGGACTAGGCAGTATTATGGATTGCTGCTGTTTACAGCAAAATAGTTGGCTCATTTGGATTCATCAGATCTAATAAGCATCTTGGGTTTGACCTTAAATGATTGTTTTGTGTGACTGTTTTCTTGCTACCTCTCTTCTGTGCAGGTTTCCACATCATTTTCCTGCCATATGCAGATGACAAACGTCGTGTTGATTTTACAGAAAAGGTGCCAGCCAGTCGAGAGCAGGTGGACAAAATGAAAGAGATAATTCAGAAACTCCGGTTCAAATACAGGTACCTGGAGATAAACAGTGTGCAGCAGCCTTGTCCAAACTTCATCCTTAATCCTTCTGAAGACCCAGGTGCCACGTGGTTTCTGTAGCACGTTCTGGAGTTCTTTACAGAGTTGCTGTTGCCATTTGTTGCAGAGGTGTCACCTTTTATTGTGGTTCTGCCAATCTGTTGCAGATCAGACCTGGATGATTTAAATCAGAGCACTTTAGAGAGAATAATTAACCCCTTTTTCATTAGAGCTAGGATAAATATCAGGTGCTTTTATGGGAGATTTTTGTCTGAGTAGGTGGAGAGTAGCATAACTTAAGTAGAATGTCACTGTCCCCATTGGTCTCCCACAGCTTTCTAATGCAGTTGGTGCATGATGGGGATGGTGATTCAGAATGTTCAGAAAGAGGAAAAGCAGTTCTTCCAATGAGATGGGTTGTTGTGTGGAAGAGGGGAGTTTTACTTTGAAATAAGCTGGTGGTAAATCTTGGGTGTCTTGTCCAGCTTGGCAGTGTGGATTGATGTTTTTGGGGGATTGTTGGCAGGACTGACAGCTTCGAGAACCCAGTTTTGCAGCAGCACTTCAGGAATCTGGAGGCTCTGGCACTGGATATGCTTGAACCAGAACAAGCTGAGGACCTTACAAGTGAGAATTATTGGTGGGTGCAAAGGGAGGTGGGGTACAGGACCCTTGATTTTAAGTCAGAGATGTGTTACTACAAACCCAAATGTCTTTTAAGAAGTATTTGTTGTGCACAGTTCCAAGATGTAGAATACTGGAATATTGAAGCCTTACTTTCTAATGCTGTCCCTTTTAAGATAAGGGGAAAATTGTTCACTTTGCCATCCAAAATTAAGATTAAATCACCTTTTTCCTATGGGAAGAAATGTTTTCTCTAAAATGTCTCTCTTGAAGAGCCTTAATTAATATTTCAGCCTGGTAAGTGGGCAGAATTACTGAATTTTCTGCTCAGAGGCAGTGATGCCACCTCGTGGCTGTGAGAGCTCCTATGTAGGAATATCTTGGCAAAGGATAGAAACCTCCTCCTGGAGGGGAAGTTTCCTTTTTTAAAGTTATTTTGTATTTGAGTAGCAGCATTAAGGTAACTATTTGTCTCTTAAGTGGTACTTAACAAATAGTCGAGGTCCCTGTGCTAGATATCATACAAGGACATGACAGAACCAAGCTACTCACAGCTCTAGACAGTAACCTTTTGCCATCACACCTGCTGATGGCCTTGCTCAGACTTCCCTGTGATCACTCAGTCTTTGAGAGGTCCAATATTTCCCTTGCCAGTGCCCAAGGCTGAAGAGATGAACCGCAGGCTGGGCAACCTGGTGGAGGAGTTTAAGCAGCTGGTTTATCCCCCTGACTACAACCCTGATGGGAAGGCTGCAAAGAGAAAACAAGGTGAGTGGTGACAGTGCAGAGGTGCCACACCATGGCTGTGCTCTTTGTCTAGAGGCTTCTGTGTTTTCACTTTGCCTTGGGGCTTAAAGAAGCTGCTTTGTGCATTGACTCATCTCCACAACAAAGTAGGCTTGGATCCAGCAGTGATTCTTGGAGGTAGAGGATTTTGTGGTGTCCAGTTAGAGAGCTGCTGGAATGAGAAACTGCAGAATGGAAAAAAGAAAGAAGTAGAGGAAGTGATGTGGAGAAATTACTGCAAAATATCCATTTGTTTATTAATCTTTTAATCATCGTTTGTGGGTTTTTAGTACAGAGTAGTAAAATTGTTCCTGCTTTCAGTTTGGTTTTGGTGAGGAAGCAGACATTTGTGTGGGCTGTTACCCATCTTGGATTTGATAATTTTTAGGGCTAAATCTCTTAATTAATGCTGAAGTACACGTGTAGTTTGAGAGGCTGTGAAACTACATAAAGTAGGAGTGTCAGTTAGCTGAGCTCCTTGTTGAATAGTTGCATTTTTTTTTTTTGTGAGAATCCCTTAAAAGTTTAATTTGGGGATAATCATTCTATCAGAACACAGTTTCCTACTTGTTTGAGATCACTCCTGTCAATGAGATCCTACATGACTCAACATAGTGAGTGACACCTCCTTAAAACCAGGGCTGTGGGTTTGTAGATAAGTAGCTGTGAGAGGTCCCATGAACTGACAGCCATTAACTGTGGTATCTGTAAGAAAAATTGATGCCTTTCTCTTCAACTTTAAAATCTCAGTGATCTAAAATTTATTTTTTTCCAGCTTCTGATGGTCAAGCTGAGAAGAGGCCCAAGGTGGAAATGTCCAAAGATGAGCTGAGGAGTCACGTGCAGAAGGGCACTCTAGGCAAGCTCACTGTGCCTGTCCTGAAGGATGCCTGCAGGCTGTGTGGGCTGAAGGATGGAGGGAAGAAGCAGGAGCTCATGGATGCTCTAACTGAATACTTTAATGACCACTAAGCAGAAAACCCTGTTTGACTTCCATCAGCCTAAAATTTTAGTTATGTGGACGCTGTGTTCATCTTGCTTCAGAGGAGAAGGCAACTAAATGTTGAATCTAGCAGTGGAGTTGTTTTTTTACTTTTAGTTGTGGAACTTCTGTGCAAAGTTTGATTCTGCTCACAGCAGCCCAAGGCAGGATTAAATTCCCTGCTCACTCAGGTCCCCCACTGCAGGTGAACACAGTTGTGCCTTCCTGCTTTCTTAATAAAAGTGATTTTTTTTTTGACTTCTTATTTTGCAACACTGGCTATACCATCTTTGCATCATAAAGGCAGCAATACTCACTTCAGTTTGAGTAAGAAAACAGATTTATAGTGATGGTAACCATGTGAATTCAAGCAGCAGGGCAACGGTATAAATGTGGTGTATTACTGTACAAGTACTGATACTGGCTGGTTTTTTTTGGAATGAAATTGGAACACCAGTGGTAGAAAAGAACCCAAAGATGATCAGCAGATCATAAAGGAGAAAACCTAAGCTGTAACTTTCTCTAGGCTGCAGGGGTGCCTGTTTTGGTCTGCATGGTGTTTTTTAGCACTCAGGGATCCCTGTGGTTGGCACACTAATTATTGGGCAACTTACTGAAGAATTAAGTCATGTATTGAGGTTGTGCTGGAGCTGTAGTGTGGCTGTGATCACTTCTTGGGGCACTGTGGGCACCTGCCACCTCCACAGCCCCTTGAGGAAGCCCTCACTGAGCTCTGCAGGACTGAAGCTACACAGTTGTCTTATGCTTCCAGTCAGCCTGCATAATAATAGTTTATTTTTCATAAAGATTTGTCTAAGCAATCAATTCAGTTTGCTCTTTGGCAAAGAAGTTAGTGTAAATGCCTGTTTTAGCAAGACTTGAATTGAACAGTATAAAATAAACCATCCTGTCCTTAATACAGTGAATTTTCAATCCCCAAATAATGCCCTTGTTAACATCTCTCTTGGCTCACTAACCCCTAGGCACAGGAAGTTCCAGGCTGTGGATTATTGTGGTATTTTTGTTCTAGGTTATTAGATCTACCTCCTGGCTTTTAAATAATTTTTTTTTTTAATAGTAGGTTATCCCATTAAGCAGAAGTTTAGAAGGGGTGGTGATGGAAAGGCTTCAAGGCAGAAAATTAGGTTTATTCACCCAAGAAACCTTTATTGCTGTTCCTTATGTGCTTTGTCTTACATCAGCTCTTGGCAGGGTACAATAGGACAAATCCTTTGCAAAGTTGTCTTGAGCATAGCTAGCTATCAGTAGAAGCACACAGGAGCCTTTCTACACTTCCTAGAAATGAAAGGAGTCCAAAATCTTTGTGTTATGTTCACCTCAGCAAGGGCATTACTGTTATCAGCTACTTAAAAAAAATATTCAATGTGATTTTTCTTTTGTGAGCTGATCTCATCTGCTTGAGATGTACTTAAAGTGATGAAGTTAATGCCTCTGTGGAAACATTACAGGACTTATTTTCCCTTAATACTGTTGTACTTCCTGGTCTTGTCCATGCTAGCTTTGCTTTGACAGCCTGCAATAGAAGACAGGTTTGCTATGACCTATTCCAACAGAGATTTGCTCTCCTGCTCAGAGCAGTAAGTGAATTTATTATACAATATGCACTTAACTAAACCTAGCTCCAGAAACCCACCACTAATCCAGAATGCTGGTGGTGCTTCATGTTTTTCCAGAAAATGAGGTTATCTACCATTCTCTGCTTGAGATACAGGTTGATTGATCTAAAAAATGTCATGCTATTGCCTTGGCCATAAATTCTCTTGCATTGCAACAGCCTTTAGGCAACCTCTGAGCAGTCTAGCATAGGAACTTAGTTGCAAATCCTTCCCTGAGGGAATGACAATTATATTTTGTTTTCTCAGCACTTTTATTTTTCTTAAAAAGTCAGTATTTAAAAATAAGTGAGATCAGAGGTTTCCCCTCCTGCACTGTTGGTGAAAGCACCAACTCTTGGCAGCCTGTGTGCACACACTGTGCAGGAACCACCTGCCTCCTCCTCAGAAGGGTAAACCATGAGGAAACGAGTTACTGACACCTGCCAGGGGCCGGAGCTCCGTGGAAACGCTGCGAGGCAGAGGAAGCTCCTGGGGGGGTTAGAAAAGCCCTGAGCAGGCAGACAGGGACAGGATTGAGGGGGATTATTTTTTTTTCCTTTTAAACATCAAACAGGAAACACAATTGTACAACCGCTTTTCAAGAAGTAATACAATAAGAATGTGTTGGGGTGGAATAATAGAAAAGGGGTGGGGGCGGAAGAAGCAGAAACACTTAAGAATTTAGCCATTATTAAACAAAATTATTATTAAACAAAAAACTGTTGAAATGAAACACCGAGATCAAAACTAAACCGAAGCCAGACATTCATTCCCCCCTCACTTCACCTTTCCTATTCCACACACACACCAGCTCCTGGGTCTTTAGACCAACAGTCTTTCTATGGCTTGCTGGACAGACTGGATCTGGGGCTTCAGCTGGGAGCCCTCCTTGATGGTGATGGAGCAGGCGATGACGGGGCGGGAGACGCCGCAGGCGCGGCCCAGGGCCTGCTTGGAGCGCACGAAGACGTAGGGCACGTTCTTGTCCTCACAGAGCAGGGGCAGGTGCAGGATGATCTCCAGGGGCTCTGCGTCCGCCGCCATCACGATGAACTCCGCGATCCCCCGGTTCAGCGTCTTGGTGGCTGCCAAGAGAAGCTGAAGGGTAAGTCTGGGTCCTGCCAGAGAGCATCTCGCGTGGAAAAGGTGGTTGGGGGTTGAGATGGGTGTGAGGAGGTCTAGGGGTGGAACAAGGAGAGGCCAAGGGACTCACAGGGGGCAAGGCCAGCCCAGGGATGAGGGGAGACTGGGTTTGTTTGGCCTGCAGAAGAGAGGGCTGAGGTGGGACTGGAGGGATGTGGCTGCTGTTTTCTGCTACTTCTAGGGGACTAAAGAGATGGAGCCACCGTCCTGCTGAGCATGCAGGAAAAAAGAACAAGGTGCAGACTGTGACTGTTCCCTCAGGGAAATTCTGAGGCTATGCTGGAATTCTATCCCCTTGTGAGAGGGCTTTAAGCCATTGGACATGGGACCTGAGAGACTGGGGAGTTTCTATCCTTGGGGATTGTTTTTTTGAAGTTTGACTAGGCAAAGCCCTGAACAATCTGATCCAACAGAAAGGAGCCCCTCTCTGAGCAGACTGCACTCAAGGTGCCCCACAAACCCAAATCTTTTCATGACTCTGAACCCACCAGGCCTTTGGCAATCCCAGTGCCACACCATGATGTACACATGATCACAGGATGTGCACCAGAGACACAGCTTTGGCACATGCCAGAACTATACCTAAGTGTTGACAAGATTACAGCTTAGTTCTGCCACTGAATATTGCTTAAGCAGGCTAGAAGGAGGAGCAAGGAGAGGGACACTCATACAGCTCTATGGAATGTTAGTGCCCCACAGCTAGAGAGAACACACAACCTCCAGCCAACAGCTTCTCTCCAAATCCTTTCTATGATTTCTAGCACACTTTGCACCACACAGTTCTCACCTTCATTGGCTCCCTTGCGTAGCTGCTTATAGTTGCAGGACTGCTGCACGAGGTCCAGCAGAGTTTTGGTGAGCTGTGCATCAGCCAGCGGGTAAGCTTTGGGGTTCACTTCTGCTTCACTCTAGAGAGGAGAAAAAATGGAGCATTACAACAGGTGTAAAGGGGTCATCACATCCACCACATGACTACCAGACTCATCTCACCATTCTCAGTTGCTCTGCACGTACATTGGAAACCCTACAGCATTTCTAAAAAGGGATTACTCTCCGATTCAGAGCAGGCAGTATCTCTTCTCGCACAAAGAGCCGGTTTACACCCTGCAAAGCAGCAGCGACTTGCGGGGCAGCGTTCACGCCTCTGCTGTCAGAGATGCTCTATGAAGCCAAGCACTGCTGAGCAGCTCTGGCCTGCAGCAACACCACAAGCTCACACACGAATCTGACGGAGACGCCGAGCCCAGCACGCGTCGGTTGATTCCCGCCGATTACAAGCAG